GAAGGCGTTTTAGAGTTGGATTTTTTTTTACTTGTTATTCGTTAATTTTGACGCGCAGTGTATATAGACCAGGGTCGATAATTTTTGAAACCAAAAAAAATAACAGTAGGATGAAACCCATTGGAAAAGAAAAAGAATATAATAAAAATGAAAGGAAAAATAAATTACGGGCGATCCGACTTCGGGAAGTGGGAGGGGGGGGTTTAAGGGTAAAAAATGGTTTATCTCGATTTCCGGCAAAACTACAAGTCCTATGAAAAAAAGTTAAATGGCAAAGTTGTAGGTAATAAAAGGATCCTAGATCGATGTACAACTTTTGTAATTACAATTTTTTTACATAACCTCAAAATTTATGTGAAAAATTAAAAAAACCAAGTTTTTGGTTTTTTATTTTTATCTTTTTCAAAAAAAAAATTTTTCCACGAAATTTGGTGAAAACTTACCTTTTAATGTCCCAAATACACTGTAATTTATTTGATTTGAAATATTTATTATTTCGCCTTATTTTGACTTAATATCAAAAAAGCACCCTAATTTTCAATCGAAAATTCTCGCGTCAAAATATCAGCTTTTTTCAAAAAGTCGGTGTGCTTTTTGTTTGTTGAAATCTCTACTTTCTGATGGTGTAAAAAAATATACATTACTATGGTAAATGTTCTCAGAAAATGCAAAAAATATTATAATGAATAACGAAAAAAACTCGAATTCGAAAATTTATTTTAATCATTATGTACAATTTCATCAAAAAAATGTGATTGTTGCAATTTTTTTAGTTAAAAAGTTTATTCATTAAATTCTAATAACATTTATGTCAGAAAATCTCATAAAATATAAAAATACATGTAAATCATACTATTGAATTTAGATACTTCATTCTGATTACGTTATTCATTATAATATTTTTTGTATTTTTGAGAACATTTACCATAGTAATGTATATTTTTTTAACACCATCAGAAAGTAGAGAGTTCATCGAACAAAAAGCACACCGACTTTTTGAAAAAAGCTGATATTTTGACGCGAGAATTTTCGATTGAAAATTAGGGTGCTTTTTTGATATTAAGTCAAAATAAGGCGAAATAATAAATATTTCAAATCAAATAAATTACAGTGTATTTGGGACATAAAAAGGTAAGTTTTCACCAAATTTCGTGGAAAAAAATTTTTTTTTGAAAAAGATAAAAATAAAAAACCAAAAACTTGGTTTTTTGAATTTTTCACATAAATTTTGAGGTTATGTGAAAAAATTGTAAATACAAAAGTTGTACATCTTTTTATTACCTACAACTTTGACATTTAACTTTTTTCCATAGGACTTGTAGTTTTGCCGGAAATCGAGATAAACCATTTTTTACCCTTAAAACCCCCCCTCCCACTTCCCGAACTCAGATCGCCCGTAATTTATTTTTCCTTTAATTTTTATTATATTCCCCTTCTTTTCCAATGGGTTTCATCCTACTGTTATTTTTTTTCTCTTTTTACCATTTTTAAAGGCTTCTGCACTGGTCTAATAAGAATTTGCGAACTTCAAAAAATTGCATTTTATTCTCGATTTTATTTAAACCTATATTAGTATTATAGAACAAAATTGACAAAAATTATTGTGTAATTTTGGGTGCGTTAATGATTTTTTATTAAATAAATGTAAAATGGTTAACAATAAAAAGTATAACATTTTATAGATTTTGTTTGTACGAAAAATTATTGTGGCCTTTTGGATTCGTAAAAGAATTTTTTTAATGAATGATATATGTTATGAACTTCATTAGAAACTGCCAAACTCAAAAAATAGCACTTTTTTAAGATCTTTGTTGCATACAGGCCCGTAGCCAGCCGTAGGGCCCGACGGACCCGGCCCCCCCCCCCCCGAAATTCCGTGAACCCTAAAATTTTCCTAAATATGTGAATCATGTTTTAAAAATATGTCTATCAATTACAAGCTATGACAACTTCACGCTTTACTGGTGTTTATCGATCAACCATTTTCGCCCCCCCCTACCACCCAAAATATTATTACTACGTTTTGGGCCCCCCAAATAAAATTTCTGGCTACGGGCCTGGTTGCATAAAAACAAAATTGGCAAAACAATTTCTTATTAAATATTTGGGAAATTACATAGTTTATCTTACAAACAAAACAGTATCATAAGGAACTGCTAATTATATTTTTATTTGTATTATACAAAATTGGTATTTTTTTAAATATCCCTCAAATAAATAAAAAAATAAGGAACATTAGGTTACATCAAACTAAACAAATTTCATCGGATGTCAAAAATAATACCCCATTATTGGGTTACTTTAGCAAAGATTTAATGGAATGTTTCTGTATTGAAAAAAACTATAATAAAAAATATGTAAAAGAAATAAACATTTTTAAAAAAAATTAATTTGGGCGTTTGATTTACTGGATCTCTTAATGGAAATATTATTGTTTATGATACGTGTAAACAATTTATTTTAGCAAAATAAGTTAAAAATTATTATAAAAACTTTTTATTTATACTATATTATCTCATCTATTTTAAAAGTTTTAAAACAAAAGTAGGTACCTAATTATGTTCCTCTAAAAAGTTTTTCAAACTTTTGGAAACCTATGTTTTATATGGACACATAGTGCGACGGTCGACAATAAAAGCTTACTTGATACTATTTTAAGTGGCAGAGAGGTGATAAAAGCCATCGGATATTCCCAAAAAAGTTCCCTGATCTGATTCATATTTGAAAAATTGTTTGTTTGCCAACGAGAACAACTTGGACATTATCCAGTCCAGCCTACAAAAATCAATAATAAACTTAATTTTATTTTCTCTTATTTTAAAATACAACTTAATAAAAACAAACCCGGATAATATAAAACCAAGTATTAGACAGATAAATTAATCCAGATATAAAATTTCCATTCTAAAAAACGACAAAATTAAATATTATTTTATGAAAGAAAATTTAACCAAGCTCTAAACGGAACAGAAGAAAAAAATAAAAAAGTAATTTTAAAAACCTTAAATAAACTCTGCCACTTTTATTTCTGCTTTGTTATTATTTAATTACGTTATTTTATAGGTACTTGTTATTCTTTTTATATCTCTGTTTTAATTTAATTATTATTGAGGCACATAAACAATTATTCTTTTAACTATAATTGACATATTTTTTTAAACTAAAAAGTTTATTTATATAATATAAAACTTTATCTTATCTCGTTTTAAATACAATTCACATACATACAGGGTGTTTCTTTTAACTTGAGACAGCTCAATATCTCGAGAAATACGCTTTTCACGGGAAAATGTCTTAAATAAAAGGTTAATGTGACCAAAGGGGACATTATTTGGTGCTACCGCTAGCCACCCCCTACCCCTCCTTAAGGGTGAAACGGGGGGTAACTTTGGAAAGTCAAATGGAATGACCCGATTTTTTTCACAGAGTTTGGTAGTACATAAAAAAATGAATAACTTTTATTTGAAAGTTTTTTTCAATTTATCAACAGATGGCGCTGTAATTCAAAATTTAAGAAAAAGGGGTTTCCTTGTAAAATGTATTATTTGAAACGTTTGAAAAACAAAAATTAACATTAAATCAACAATAGTGGGCTCTGAAAACAATTTATAACAAATGTTCGAAATTTCGTCCTTCCATTTCGACACCAAGTGGAGCACCAGCGTCCCTGGTCGGTAAACGTTTGGTGCGGTACCTTAAGCGAACGATTAATCGGACCCTTCTTTATTGAAGGTGCATTAAATGGCGAAAAGTACCGGAATTTTCTAGAAAACGATCTGACGGACCTTTTGGAGGATGTACCACTAGCACGGCTCCAAAACATGTGGTACCAGCAAGATGGTTGTCCTGCACATTATTCGACAATTGCTCGAGAGGTGTTGGATCGGAAGTTCAATGGCCGGTGCACCGCGGTGGATCGGTAGACGTGGTCCAGTAATTTGGCCTGCTCGATCACCTGATCTTACGCCACCAGACTTCTTCCAGTGGGGTTACTTGAAAGAAAAAGTTTACGCTGCAATTCCTACAACTGGTGGACATGGTGATACCGCCCGATATGTTGGCGCGTTGTGTGCCAGAATTCATTACCCGCATTAAAAAATGTGTTGAAATGGAATGACGACATTTCGAACATTTGTTATAAATTGTTTTCATAGCCGACTATTGTTGTTAATGTTAATTTTTGTTTTTCAAACGTTTCAAATAATACATTTTACAAGGAAACTCATTTTTCTTAAATTTTGAATTACAGCGCCATCTGTTGATAAATTGAAAAAAGTTTTAAATAAAAGTTATTTATTTTTTTATGTACTACCAAACTCTGTGAAAAAAATCGGGTCATTCCATTTGACTTTCCAAAGTTACCCCCCGTTTCACCCTTAAGGAGGGGTAGGGGGTGGCTAGCGGTAGCACCAAATAATGTCCCCTTTAGTCACATTAACCTTTTATTTAAGACATTTTTCCGTGAAATGCGAATTTCTCGAGATATTGAGCTGTCTCAAGTTAAAAGAAACACCCTGTATAAATAAAACAATACGTATAATTTTTGCAATTAACCTGACTCTTTTTGATAAATTAATAACCATAATTATATGCAAATTTAATTAGGCAATTACACAATCATTTCACAAACAATATTGTGACGCGGCAACATGGCAAGAAATTTGCGATGTTGCGGAAATTCTAGCTTGTATTGTCTAATTTACTTACTGGGTCAGCAAACAATTAAGTTGGAAGTTGGGAAATATTCTGATTTTGTTTCATATATCAAGGGTAAAATATATATCCTAAAAAATATATATTTATCTAAAAAAAAGTATCAAAGTAAAAAAATTAAAAAAGCTTTCGTCCAACTCACATAAATCCGGCGACAAATTCAATCACTTTTCATATTACAAAAAATGCAACTAATAGAAGTCCCATTTGGGTATATTTTTTGTAGAACCGGATATTTTTTACTGTGTAGAATTGTTTTACTAACTTTTCTTTTTTCTCTGTTTTAGGTCCAGTTAAGAGGTCCAGAAGGGAAGTGTATCCGCCGGATATTGAACCTGAATCTATTGATATTAATCCCCCACAAGGTTAGTTTAAGTGGTTATATACAGCTTACATATTAAATTGATAACCCTATAATAATATTGATCTGCTTGGTGAGCATAAGTGTCGACTATAACATTGTTGATCCTGGCTTCTAAGTAAAAATATAATGTGAACAATAGTGAGAGGTTAGGTGTACATCATCGTCGAGTAGTAATACACGGAGAGAAAAGTATAATGCTGATTACCATAATAATTATTATAATACCCTTTACTATAATTTATATTACTATTTGGGACAACTATCGTGTATATTGCCAGATACTATGCATATTTAATAATTTTTAAATATCAATGTATGTTAAACCTTAAGGTAAAATATTATTCTCAACCAATTTTGTTCTTAATTCTTATTATAATTATTTTTTTTCCATTACTAATAAGTATAGTAAATTTTAAAATATTATGTTGCCATTTTAAATATAAAATATTTTAAAATCGAATATTTTTATATGTTAGCAATTAAAAATTGTAACATATTTATTGTACTTTTTAAATATACAAAAATGTTATGAGAAAGAATTGAACCTACACCTCGCCAAAGTTTTTTGTTTTGAGTGCGTTCCATCAACTTCAAATACCGACTGACAGGTGTTTTGACCTAAATCGGGTATCATCAGTGTCGACACGACACTGTCGAGCAACTTGTAGTAGTGGAACACACCCAAGACAAAGAAATACCTGAGCTTATATAACATGGTTGGTAAGCCAACAGAGGCGAGATGTAAGAACATCACGTGATCCACACCGTCTAACGAGGCGTCGCGACGTGGCCTTTGCCGCAATCGGTACATACTATGCAACCAAGTAGGTTCAATTCTTTCTTATAAGTATTCCCAGTAATGGGTCAAGAAAGTTTATTGAAGAAACTAAGAAAATTGAATGTTTAAAATGTCATGAGTTACTATATTGTATATTATATTTAAATATATTGTTTATTTACCTTAAACATAAAAGTATCTTTATTTTTACTATATTTTTTTATGTGTAATATATTATAATATTAGATGTACACCTTACATTTGATTAAATCATATAGTAAATATATATAGATAGTAAAATCAATTAACATATTAAAAATTAAAATATATATTATACATTTAAGATTTAGTAATATTGGTGTTGTAATCTTTAATAAAATTGTATAATAAAAAATAGTATTTTGTATTACAATCTTAATATTGTTTTGACGAATATATAATATTGTTACCCTAAAAATTTGTTAAAGTAAATTTTACTATATTTTTTTTACTATCTAAAATTTACCATACATTTCTCTCCGTGTATCTATAATCGTTTTAAAGCAACTAAAATTTGCCAACTTAATTTTTTTAATAAAATTCAAGTGTTTTAAAACACCCTGTATAACATAAATGGATACCAGGGCCATTCCACGCGTAACGTATAGGACAGTTGCCGTGTTTTTATTTACAAAATAATATTGTTCTATTATAATAGAATTATATAATATAATTATATTACCAATGTCAAATTTTTATAAATAGTTCTAAACAAAAGCTGTTTAACAAGGTTTTTATTTGGCAAAATTAGGTATCGTGATTGACTGTTTAATTCCTTAAAAACTAATAATTTAAAGCGTAACGGACGGGACTTTGTAATAGTCCCGCCCGTTACGCTTTAAATTATTAATTTTTAAGGAATTAAACAGTCAATCACGATACCTAATTTTGCCAAATAAAAACCTTATTTAACAGCTTTTGTTTAGAACTATTTATAAAAATTTGACATTGGTAATATAATAGAACAATATTATTTTGTAAATAAAAACACGGCAACTGTCCTATCCGTTAAGCGTGGAATGGCCCACCAGCGGTATTTCTCTCACACTTGTATCTTTGACATTCAGTCTGGCGACGCCGACGACTCAATCGAAGGCGCCGCGGCGCCCCAATTCGATGAATATTTAAATGGGACATTTCGCATCAGTCGCGGCAAACTGAAAATCGGTTTTAAAACTTTGAGCGAACCTTTTTATTTTTATGCTAATCTAAGGGAGACTTCTACCGGTTTAACTCGACATGATTCCACACTTAATGCTCGGAAAAAATTACATCCATCTCACCATTGTTTATGTAATTTTTTCCTACATAAGCCTACGAGTTCAAAGAAAATTTTTCTTATTTATAAGAATTTGTAACAGGGTTGCAAATCATAGAAATGTATTTTACCAGCTCTGGCAACGCTGGTTGAATCGCACCGAACTCTAGGACTGCATTCTACACAATCAAATAATTTAAAAAAACTCAAATGTTTTTATTTGATTCTCATTAGTTTTGAAGTTATAGCATAATTAAAAAATAAATAAAATTAAACGGTAACATTTGTTTAATACTTTTTATAAGGTTTTCAAAAATACCCCCATTGAGTTCTAAACATGCTCTGCTACGTCTGCGAACAGCGCCTGTTGCTTGTCCTATTAACTCTTGCTTTTCTTTAAGAACTATGCCTGTATTAATTATTCGTTAAATTAGTGCCTCTCGGTTATTCACTTTAACTTTGTAAACTTCTGTTTTAAACCAACCCCATAAACAAAAATCTAGTGGTGTTAGATCTGGACTTTTTGGAAGCCAACTAATTGGACCTCCTCGACCAATCCAACGTTCTGGAAACATTTCATCCAAGTGTTGCTTGACCTCACGAGCGAAATGTGCAGGGGCTCCATCATGCTGATAGTACAATTGCCTTCTTACGTTTAGAGGGACATTCTCTAGTAATCCTGGCAACTCATTTATTAAAAAATTAAGGTAGTGTTCCCCTGTAAGGCGATTCTCCATGATAAAAGGGCCAATTAAATACCCAGCAATCATAGCACACTACACATTTACTGAAAACCTGTGCTGAAAATTGGTTTCGACTATAGCATGGGGATTTTCGTCAGACCATACATGAGAGTTGTGCGTATTATTAATGCCGTCACGGGTAAATGTTGCTTCATCAGTAAAAAGTATACGCGATACAACTCTACGATTGTTAGTTACCCACCGACAAAATTCCACACGTTTAGCATAATCTTCCGGGTGTAGAAACTGTACTCTTTGTAAATGGTATGGGTATAAGCCTTGCTCGTGAAGTGTGTGTATTACCCGTTTCTGTGAAATGTCCAATTGAGTAGCGATTCTTCTGGTGCTGGTCGTTGCATCTTCTTCCACTAGATCCAAAATATTTTCCACTTCTTCTAAAGTTTGTCGATCAGCTTTTTCAGATGTTATTTTAGCACTTCAAGAGTTCCAGTCTCGCAAAGTTTATTAAAAACTTGAATAAACACGTTTTTGTCAGGAGCCCTTTCACGTGGAAAACGTCGCCGATATTCTTCTATAGCAGCTGTGGCATTGTCATTACAAAAGCCATAAACAAAAACCATGGTTTTTGTTTATGGCTTTTGTAATGACAATGTCACAGCTGCTGTAGAAGAATATCGGCGAAGTTTTCCACGTATGTATATTAGCATACTCTAAATTTGAATAAACTTTAGGAATTTAAAAAAAAAAAAATTAAACTTGAAAATTACAAAAATACCACTGACGCTGACAGTTTTAAATGTAAACAATGTATATCTATGGAAACAAAAACTTTGTTTCCATAGTTTTTCAAAGAACATTAGATATAAATTTATTTTTTTAAATTTAATTTTTTTTTTTAAATTTCGCTATAACTTGAAAACAAATAAGAATCGGATAAGAACAGTCGAGTTTTTTTTATTATTTTGATGTGTAGAATGCAGTCCTAGACTTTAGTGCGATCCTTCCGATTCACCCTGTATATGTTGCATAAGCAATGGTATGTTATGGGTGAAAAACAGTAACAGAAGCGAGAGATATCCAAAAAAATTGCTTAATTTATCTCGCTATACTGTTTTATATTTATTAAACAAAGTAATATTATCTTGATATATTACAAAACTAATATAATTGTTCTTTAAATTTAGTGTGCATTGTCGGAGATGTGGTCTACGCTGTAGATGAGCCGGTACCGGCAGAACAGCCGTGTTTAAAATGCCGGTGCCAACCTCCCGGCGTCCAATGTGAGACCATTAAATGCGCTAAGAAGCCTGGCTGTAAGGCTGTACATAGACCGAATAGCTGCTGTCCTGACTACCAATGTGGTAAGTAAGACACGTATAAGTTAATAAAGGGAGTTCTTTAGTGTAATAGAACTTTAAACTTAAGTTTTGGGTTACCTATTCAATAGAAAATATTATTCTGACTGGGACTCATGAAAGTTAAATTTTTGATCACTTTTTAAAGCAGAATTTCGCCAACAACTCAAATAGTTCAAATAAACTGCGCACCATTCAATGTGTCGCGACCAAAAAGTTCGTTCTTTTTCAAAACGACATAACTTTTTTGTTTCTTGATTTTATTTTGGTCTGTGATGTCTGCTAGCCTCATCCTTTGGCAATCCATGCTATAGATATCAAGCTCACGGTTCTTCAACTAAATTTCCTACAGGGTGATATGTTAGACGGTGAAAAATTTTAATAACTTCATCCAAGCCCCGTTTGCAACAAAATAGTTTTTTTTTCGTTTTTACGTTAAAATAATGAAGTATTATGTCTTACTTTGTAGCGTTTTTCAAATTTTTCGAATTGGAATCTTAGCAACAAAAATATGTACAGTACATTTAAGGCTTTTTTGTAGGCAATACACTTAGTCTTTTTAGGAACAAGAAGATAAGATGGTGAAATAATGTTCCTTAAATAATTCTGAACAAGAGACAAGCAACAAACTTCCATTATTTTCAGAGGGGCCTAATCAAAGACCACTTTTTCAAAATAACATTTTGGTGAAAATTTGAGAAAACTAAACCTAAACCGATATTTACGTTCGTGACATGTTTTATTCATAATTTTGACCTCCTGATTGTGATTCAGTTATCAAATTTAAGTTTAGGATAAAACCAAAATCACCAAGAATCAAGATTCGAAAACAATTTCCGGCTGTTAAATGTCTCAATAAAATACGATTGCTTGTTTTTACTATTTTTTTACTGTGTTTTGCATCTTTAGTACGATATTATCATGTCGCTGAATAATCAAATCAAGGATCAAATAAAAATTAGTTCTTGAAAAACATTTAAAAGGCATTTTTTCAGTTTGCTTGTGTTTTTCAAAGTTTTTTTGCATAAGTTATACCTACCTACCTACATACCTACCCCTATCCTTCCCAGGTTACTTCCATTCTTCCTTTAAATGATTAAAATATCAATGCTAGACTATGCTGCAGCTACGGGAATTAACATCTCCAAATCAACGCTTCGCATAAGATTGCACGAAACGGGAGGCAAGGGTTGCTTTTAGAGGTGGAGGATTGACTGTTTGGGGTGGAATGGCGATGAATGGAAAGAGTGAATGCTGAGAGATATAGAGATTTGGTTGTTAGTGATATCGTGGTCCCTTATGCTCAAAATGTTGCCAATAATTGATGGACGACAATGCCCGTCGGCACCGCACCAATATCGTAAATGAGTATTTAAGGGACCACCATATTGAGAGAATAAATTGGCTACTTTTGTCTCCGGATATGAATCCTATTGAGCATAAAGATGAAAAAGAGGGAAGGACGCATTGAAAATTTGGATAAATTGGTAAATGCTATTCAGGAAGAATGGGATACCCCACGAATTTATAAAGAACTTGGTCGAGGCTCAGGAGGGTTAACGAATTATTACGGGTTAGGGGAGGGCTAACGAAATGTTGAAAGTTATTTTTGTTATTGTTTATACATTTTTTCGCATAAAATTTTCCAAAGTGAACAAACATTTTTTTATTTAACTTTATAACCAATTAGGTAGGTACTTATCAGTGATAAGTTATCACTAGTGCGCAATGTAAATGTAACTTATGTAATATTATCCTAACCACTCAAACAAATTTCAGTAATTTCGCCCAAAAAATGATTCCCCAAATGGCATTTTAATCATAAATATGCAAGAAACACGCTAGCAATCGGATTTTATTAAGACATTTAACAGCCGGGAATTGTTTTCGAATTTTGATTCTTGGTGATTTTGTTTTTTTCTGAAACTTAAATTGGACAACTGAGGTCAAAATTATAAAGAAAACATGTCACGAATGTAAATATCGGTTCAGGTTTAGTTTTCGCGAATTTTCACCAAAATGTCATTTTGAAAAAGTGGTCTTTGGTTAGGTCCCTCTGAAAATAATGGATGTTTGTTGCTTGTTGCTTGTCGCTTGTTTAGAATTATTCAAGGAACAATCTTTCTTTTTCTTAAAAAGACTGAGTGTATTGCCTACCAAAAACCCTTAAATGTACTCTTTTGGAAAAAAATCATATTTTCGTTGCTAAGATTCCAATTCGAAAAATTTAAAAACCTTAAAGGTAAGACATAATACTTCATTAGTTCGAAGTAAAAACGAGAAGTTGAAATTTTTCACCGTTTTACATATCACCCTGTACGAAATTTACTTGAGAAACCGTAAGCTTCATATCTATAGCATAAATTGGGGATGGGGCTAGTAGACATTACAGACCAAAATAAAATCGTTTAAGAAACAAAAAAGTTATGTCGTTTTAAAAAAGGACGAATTTTTTGGTCGCGACACATTGAGTGGTGCGCAGTTTAGTTTGAACATCACTAGTTTATGTTTACACACTAAAAACATATTTGTTAATTTTAACCAAATATTAACCAGATTGTATGTTAATCCAGGTCCACATAACTTTATGTCTAGTTTAAAACCAACAGTAATCTGTTAACTAATTTAGTAGTCCGAATAACAATAATAGCAGATTATTGGTAATATATTATAAACACTTTGGACAGTTGTTACGAACACGTTACAAATTAAAATAAAGTAAGCGGAAACATAAGTTGCAGACGCTGTCAGTCAGTTGAACTTTTTGATGCCTATTCTCAGTGGGAAATGTTTTGATTGACTGCCTGAAATGACCTGTACTTTTTCAACGAAATAATTAAACATTAACAAAATAATCTGTAACCTTTAAAATTAATAAAATTGCATATTACAAAATTGCATATAACCTTTACAAAACTTTCGGTAAAATATTTTCCTTTGTTAAAATAATTACACACCCTGGTTTTCTACAAGTTTTAAATCACGATAATCATAATACAATCTACATGTTAAAAACAACCAAACTTGTAGTTTATTTTGAGATACATTATATATTTGCTAATTTATGTATTGAAACAGAAGGCGACCATATTGACTTAATATTGTCGCCTTTTGCTTGAATATGCAAATTAATCAAGTCGTCATGTGTAAAACATAGCGCGGGATACATAAATGGGATACAAAGTAGCTTGAATAGCATCAACTTCCTTTTAAGAACTTTCAATGGACAGTTTTTATTTATTTCAAGGCACTTTTTTATTGCACTCGGAACTTATTCTGCTTTTGAACGACCTGGTCTATCGTCTTCATTGAAATCTTCTATGCTCGCTTGGAAACACTTGTACCACTTATAAACTTGTGTACCATAAGTTTGAAGCTTGGTAAAGTATTAACCGAGTTTAAAATAAAACTCAATTTGTTAAAACTTTGATATACAGGGTGGAAATCTTAACTCGATCGAAGAATGGAATTTAGCGAGAAATCTAATAAACGAAAAAAAGATTTTTTTGGATTGGATACTATTTTCCGATGAAAGTAGCTTTACTTTAAATGGTGAGGTTAACTGTCCAAATTGTGTGATATTGGAGCGATAGAAAAGGTGAATGGCAGAAGGTTATTACTTATCTTTTCTTTAAAAAGATCTTGTTCCATATTTGGCAGTTTAGTTTTCAAAACAAGATGATCCAGACTTACCAAATAATAAACTCTGATTTCATCAGCTCCACCACATTACGCATTACCAGTTCGTCGTACCTAAATGAAATATTTCCTAATTGGTGGATTGCTAAAATAGGTGCAGTTCAGTGGCCAGCCCGATCTCCAGACCTTGCCCAGTTGGATTTTTTATGTGGGGTCACGTCAAAAATAAAGTTTAAGTCACTAAGGGCTGGTTTATCAATGTCTAACTAAAAGTGGCAGTTAAGTATCTTACAGTTACCTTTATCTGACAGTTATCCGAATAGAAGTGTTTTTCTTCACCTCGTACAGTTCCAGTTTCGTATCTGCCAGTTTGGTAATTTGGCAACACTGTCAAGAGACTTTTTAATTGGTAAAATTTAAATCCATGGCATGCGCGTAAAACATAACCTTAAACAACTTTTATATTGTGTATATTGTTATGCTTCTAACCTTCTCTCTCTATCTTATGTTTCTTTATTATTTTTTGGTGTAGATATGGGTATGTTTTTAAATAAAAATGCGTTCTAAAACTGCATAAGTCTTCTCTCGTGTTGCACAAACTTAACAATTTGTTCATCGTTGTGACTTTCAAAAAAATCTCCAATATTCATTTCAAAAACAACACTACACAAACACAAATATAACCTATGAACCGCGAAAACTGCTAGTTAATTCGCTATCTGACACTTGCAGCTTCCAGTTAAATTTACTTCCAGTTATCTTAATTTAAGTTCTTAGTAAACGTTAGTTGCATATTAATTAGGGCTGTACAATAATTTACTTATTTAATAAATATGGATTTACTATAAAAGATGTTCAAAATGAGCTTCTCTGATTTCTTAACAAAATTCTAGGCGATTATAATTATTTAATAATCATTTTTGTATCGGATACTCTCTTTTACGTCTTTGATATTATTTGGTTTAGGGCCGGTTTATCAATGTCTTAACTGGTAAATAAAGTTAAAGTGGTAGCTAAACTGTTTATTAATATTAGGGCTGTATAATTTAGCCGGTTAAGCCAGCTAGAAAAGTTAGCTAAGTTAATTAGCTAGCTAACTGATCAGCTTAGCTAATTTAACCGGTTAACTAAAGTAGCTTAGCTAATTAGCTAGTTTTTTAAGCTATATAATGATTTCTTATTCACGGATGTTGCTTTTATGACAAACAATAATAGAGTAATTTATTAGGTTATTTTACATTTTATTTTTATTTATAAAAATGGCTTTTAAATTAGTTAAATTATTAAATAGCTTAAAAAATTAGCCGTTTAGCTGTTAGCTAATTAGCTGAGCTAAGCTAGATTAACCGGTTAAGCTGCCAGCTAAT